CTGTTTGGATAACATTCTAAATACTTCTTTTATGTCATTCTACATTATATATTTATTATATATTTATCTACATTATATATTTATTATATATTTAAGTATTTACTTACTGTTTATAGATTCCGTCGTCGGATTATTTCTTCTACGTAATGTCAACTAGGTATACCGATTTTACAGGTTATAGATACAAATTTAAATTTTTTCGGTTAGCTGCCCTGCACTGCTTGCTCTACCTCCAGACCTAGGGCAGTCAGTTCACTGAACTCGCTGCACTAGTTCAGCCTGCACTGTTCGAAAGAACACATTTTCTTGCACTGTTCTGATCGAAAGAACGCATTAGTGCAAACTTCGTGAACTAGTGCAGCCAGTTCAGGTCGAAAGAACAAACCTACGATATGCGACGAGCGATATCCAATGAGCGTATTGGTATTCCGGAAAAGCTGTACGCTCATTAGATATCGCGCATCGCATATCGCGTATCGCGTCGCAAATCGCGCTGGCTGTGAGAGCCATAAGTTGCCTCGCATCGGCCAATCACGTGCGGTTACGTACTACTAATGTGAAATGCGATTTTCGTGAGTCATGATTTACAAATATTCTAGACTCAACGCGTTCGATCCGGAAATAGTCGATTGCGGAAGCGAAGGCGTTGCGACGCTTGTAAACTACATCACGCGTAATCCTCCATAGAGTGAGAGGTCAATAAATATACATACTTGTCAAATCGATCCGTAATGGCCGGGATTAAAGGTTATTTGACACATTGTTAATCATGTAACGTACGACTGGTTACCGCATAAATTTTCGAAAAATGTCATCATCGCGAAAACTTCGCGTTGGAAGCACATAATCTACTGTCAAAACATAACCTCACTCTCCTCCCGGTTGTGATTGTTTGACACTTCAACGAGCGCGTCTCTTGTAGCTCAAGTTTTGTAATTTGATCTCATTTAAGAAGAATCCGTGCTTTTTCTCACGTCAGTCAACGAATTTTCAATTAATTCCTCAAACACTTTTAATTTCACCGAATGACTCAAATCGAAGAAAGCTTTGTTATAAAACGTCGTAGTATTATTTACATTTCACTTATAAGCTTGCTCTTTTGTATTGGAAAAGTGATCGTTCATTGTTACGCGATAATAAGAATAGACGGATTCACCAATGTGAACATCTGAAACTCAAAGTCAAGTAACTAGTCAGTCGTGCTTTATTGAACTGTACATAATGAGTGTAGTGTAAAATGCTATTTATTATAATATGGAAATTAATTCTATTTTTCTTTTTTTTCCATGAACAACGAAAAACGTGTTTTTGTGATGTTTATCCTCGGAACAGCGTGAGTACTTTCATAAACATGCAGTTATACTTCAAATATTTCTTAAACTTTGACAAATACCTTGGTCATAGGATAACTTATATTATCATTTAATAAAAAGGAATCCTCACTGAATAGTAACATAAACACAATCATTGCAGATTAGTACTATTAGCATTTGCTGGTTCCATTGGAATGACATTTGTCATTCTTGGCTGTGCATTACCAGGATATGAGTGAGTATATTTGGGGATACAACACTATGATATATTTTAAGTATACAGTTCTCTTACATTACAATTCCTATATCTTCTAGAGTATGGTGGCCATTTTTTGTTGTATTGTTCTATATACTGGCACCCATTCCAACTATAATAGCACGTCGTTACACAGATGATTCAGGCAGCAACAGTAATCCATGTTTGGAGTTGGCAATATTTATTACCATGGGATTTGTGGTGTCATCTTTTGCGCTTCCTATTGTATTGGCACGATCTCCAGAAGACCATCCAGTGGTATGTTGTCATTTAATTGTCCTCCATATAAATTATTATCCAATAATCATATTAATAAATGTGAAACTATGTCTGCAGATAGAATGGGGTGCTTGCTATCTGACATTAGCTGGTAACATTGTTGTGTATTCAACTCTAGTCGGATTTTTCATAACTTTTGATCAAGATGACACTGATTACAATATGTGGTGAGACACTGCTACTTATTCATCATGATAAAAACGTAAGTAATATGCGAGGTAATTTTTTTTAAGGTTTAATAAAACTAGAATGTATGAAAAATTACTGAGAATAATGTGATATGCATCAGTTATTGAAGTAATTTACTCTCAGAGTAAACAGCTTGTCTTGCGAAATAAATCAAAATAAGCAATTCGTCGCAAAGACGAATTGCTCTTATCGCAAAATATGTCGTAATTGTGATATCGTTTCAGGTTTTTTATGAGATTAAGGGGACAAAATCGATCATGCGGTGCACTGACTGAGCGTTACATGTTAATTCTAAATTACTATGAACCTATTGTAAACAGTTTACATAATATAAACCTTTACATGAATATTCTACTATATTCATGTTGCAAGAAAAAGAATAGTATTATAGTGCACTAACTATATAGGAATATAATGACGCCATAGCGCCGTATAATTCTGGGGTGACGATGAATTGACGATAAAACTATCGTCGGATTCCACACGCATTGTTACTAAAACAAAAAACAACAAAAAGCATTCTCGATGTTTGTAGATTTTTTTGCGTGAATATTTCAGGACAACCTGAAGCGCAACAATGCAAGGATGATGTTAATAATATTTTTTATTTAATCTAAGTCTTTCGTAATAACATAATGATAATAAAGCTACAGTTTATTACTTTACGTTATTCTTTCATCCTGGAAAACCAATAATAAATATTCCTTTGGTTAAATAATAACATCACCCACAAAATAATATTTTTGTTTATATTTTGCAATAAGTGTATATTTCTGCCGAACAAAGCAATATTTCAAGTAAAATTTTTAAAATTTTTTTGACAAAAATGGTTTTAATACGCGTAATCTATTATTTTTATAGGAGTTTGTTTTTTTTTTCTTGATTTCTACATATAATTAAGTCAGAGTTTTGTCTTTACACGTTTTGAATAATTTAAACAGGCGCCATCTCGAGATAGGAAGTGATGATGATCGCTGAATCACTGTAATACGTACTGTATGCACAACGTAATGCGATACGTAATTTTTTTCTTATGATATAATGCACTTGGACAATATGCACTTAATTAGTGTTACCGGTTGGCTTTTTGTACACGTGTGTGTGCGTGCAACATCTTAAATTTCATACAAAAAGATGCAGAAGGATTTATTCACGTTTCAAATCATCACGGAGATATCTATGCGGTAGAAATCAAGATTTTCGGGCGCGCCTAAAATCTGAATTGACTCGAATCGTGTCTAAATTAATATTCAATCGTCCTATCGACGTCCGAGGCGCGTAAACTTTCGAATTTGTACTCTATTATGCGCAGCACGAAACTAAATCAGGTATGTTTAAATTTTAACTCAAATTTGTAGCTATATTCAAAAGATTAATGTAAAAAGTAAAAATTAGGTTAGAATTTTACTTGAAATATTTTACAGTAATACTGCAAGTAGTTATTTCAACGCGCTTAACACACTCACTATAAAATATATCGTACTTATAAAAAGGAATTATTATTTACTGGAAGTTATAATTGCTATTGCAAATTTTAGAAAGTTATATATAGATTTACTTTGAAGCTGAAATTACTCATTTGACGAGCTTTATCAGTCGTAAAGATAACGAATTTTCTCAGTGGGTGCGTTCAGAAGACACAACGGTTGAGTAATTAGTCAACGTTGGTCTAAAGTTAAGGATCTAATAGTAAGGACCAATAATCACTGACCGCTCACTGATTAGCTATATTTTCTGAATGCAGCCAATGTTGTCAATTCTGGCAAGAAATAAAGCAATGTGTGTATTAGGTGAAGTTGTAGTTTAAACAATTACGTGAGAAATGAGGCATTTATTTTTATATATATCGTCATCCGAAGTTAAATTATATTGAGTGTGTATACGCGTGTGTGTGTACTTGAACCACAAATAGCACAAAACCTCTGAACAAAATCATTCTGAACATGTTTCAAAATTCTGAAAAATGTTCTAAATGCCTTAAGATAGTCTAAACACATTCAAGATGATCTCAGAAGTATTTTGTACTATTGGGAACATTCAAATTCAAAATTCACAAGTCCTTACGTATCAATATATAGATCATATTTTATCTAATCATATACCTATATCATTTATAGAGATTGTGATATAAAAATGATGATATCTAATGTTTACTTTCATTGGTCAAAGAGAATATCTGCTGATCAATAATTACATCTCTTTAACAAAGAACTTTATTTTGATATAAAGTAAGTATATTTTATAATATATACATATATATATATATATATATATATATATATATATATATATATATATATATA